CCTGCTTCACTGACTAGATGAGAACCATGTATAATTGTCATAGATATTGTTCATATGAAAATAGATGTTGATATTATTCTAAAAAATGGTTTTTTATCTAAAGAAGTTGGACATTCTACCAGTAATGGTTTTGATTATATATTCATTTAAATTTCTTTAAAAAATAGTGCCAAGAAGAAATTGAGACAAACTGCAGTAGAATCACCATAAATTCAAAATTTGTTCAGTCTGAATAATTGGTTTTGATGTCCTAGAAAAATTTCAAAAAGTTACACTTTTTAATGACTGCATCTGGGATCATGTACAATTAAATAGCCCTGCCTGTGACACATTTTACATGCTTTTATCATATTACTTGCAACATCATAACTTTGCTTTTGTCAGTCTCTCCTCATAGGGACTTCATTCATTCAACAAATATTGACTGCCCTACTGTATGCCAGGTGCTGGGGATATAGCAGAGAATCAATCAAACAAAAACATGCTTTCAGGAAAGCATATTTTAGTGTGAGAGATAGTAATAAGAGCTAGATATAAGTCAGACAAAAATAAATGCCATATTATTTCACTGACATGTGGAATCTAAGGAACAAAAAGAACAAATAAATTGAAAACAGATCCACAAATATAGAGGACAATGGATGACAACCAGAGGGGAGAGGCCTGGGGGAGCAGGGCTAGGAGAAAGCAGTAGAGGTTTAAAGAAGTACAAATTAGTAGTTAATAGAGGGTCATGGAGATGGAGAACATGGCATAGGGAATGCAGACAGCAGTAAGGAAATGGCTACGTGTAGAGCCAGAGGTAAGATAGAGAATCCGGGAGATCGTTTCATAAATTATATAAATGTCTAACCAATGTACTGTATACTTGAAACTAATTAAAAAAAAAAAAAGAATGAGAAAAAAACCTAGATAAGTAAACAAAATATATCATGTGTTACATAGGATTTTTCTAAATATTCATCTCTGTACCACTAGCATCTAGCACAATACCGGGACGTAGTAGATACTTAGAAACTACTCAGGGCTGGATTGATTTACTTTTGTGATTACTCAAAGAAATGGAAGCATAATTTTTAAAATTTACCATGGCTTTTAATTGTGAATAGGCACTGGCATACTGACACTGACAAACAGATACACAGACAGGGTAGGAAATGATGGACTAGCTTACAGAATAAAACTTTAATAAACATGAGCTGTTACTTATGAGTGAAGTAGCTTGACAGATTCATTAATTTTGATCACTTTAACAATCGATTTAATTGTATTGTGTGGCCTAGATAAATGGAGATTTTATTACAAGTGTTATCTATTTTGCTCTGTGCAACTGGCAATGAACACGAACTCTTCTTCTCATACTCTTATTTGACCTCAGTATTTCTCTCTTATCTTAGTGTTGAATGTCTTAGAGATATCAGGTTAATTAATTGTTTTTTTTTTTTCTAAATAATATCTGAATATTTTGCCCTGTCCACTTCTCAAAATTCTAATCATTAACAAAGATGAACAACTATAACATGCCAAGGTCTAAAGAAAGGTATTTTAGACAACACATAATAATTCCATGTGCCAGGTGCCTCTTGGAAACTAGACAAAAGGCTGTGTTTGTGATGAGAATCTGTACACGACTCTCTGGAATCCAAGGTCATGTCGGCTGGCCAGAGAAAAATGCTTTCAGGGCTTGTGCGGTGACTGTTGACAGAGCCCAGGGAAAATGGCAGACTTGCCTCTTTCTTACTCTAGCTCCCACACTTGTGCCAGTCTTATCAAGGCTTGAATTTTTCAAGCAATTCTATGGCACTTCACTCACATACACATATACATGCATAAATAATCCACATTAGTTCTGATTTAGTGCAATAGTATATATCAATAAATTACTTGAGAAAAGAGCACAAATTACAAAAGCAATGCATGACCTATCTTAAAAAATTAGTAAATTAGAGATAAACCAAAGGAAAAAATCGAAATCCTCTGTCCTTCTACTATCTAGATTTTACCAATGAAAACAGTGAAATATACTCTAATCTTTTTTCTATGCATGCAAAAAATTTTATATATATATAATATATATAAC